GTGTATCGGTAAAGTTATATTCGAAAAGAATAAACCAGTTTTATTAAGTAAAGACTTGTGTCGTTAAAATTTCGTCGGAACGAAGTTACGGAAAAATCAATTAACAAACGGAGACGTAACAATACAAAACACGAAATGCCATCTTAATTTTTATCATCAAGGCAGTATTTTTTTCTTTACTGGTTCATGGTGTCTAAACTACCCTGTCATCAAATCTTTTTGGTTGTTTTCTCTTCCCTGGCTTATAATATGATGATGGGGTGACTTCTTTTTTTAAGTTACTTGGGGAATTCTGTCCATGTAAGTGGTCCAGCTAACCCAATAGTGGCTCTATCGCTGGTGATATTATTGGAGTAGTCTTGACAGGAGCCTAAGGCACTTCAAAGGTTGACTTATTTCTGATGAAGTCTTTGCAGAAACTTGGTTGTTCTCCTTTCGATGTCCGTCCAAAGATGATCACAACATATTATTTTTGGTTAAGACAACCCACCGTTCTTGATTCTGCTCTATTCTCCTCCAGATCGACTGTCTTCAAAACCTTGTGTGCTCATCTTTCTTTTTTACTTGAAGTCTAATCTATGGTGGTTTAATGGACATATAATGCATGGGGTTTTCCTGGTCGTAGACTATGAAGCTAGTTTAATCACATACCCATGTCTCTGCATAAAATAAGTTCCCTATGTGCAATTTCTTCAATGTCAATTATCTACACATCATTTTGTGTACAGAAACATCCCACAGCTGGGTGGTTTTCAGCTTTTCTCTTACTGAAATTTTTTGTCCATTTGATATTCACATAAGTTTGCCTTTTTGCTTCATCTCTAGAATCCATTTCCCACCTTTCATTACCAGATAGTGTCAAACAAATGTAGCTTTAGAACCAGTGCCGATCAACATACTGTAATGGTTCCCATAAATAACCCGTTTGCTCGTGATCAGGTTTTTTATTAAATAATGCTCTCCACGGTTTATTATCAACGACTGTTTCATCACAATCTCGGATGTAATATGCATATTTTGTAACTTATAGCAGTTTCTTTCTCCTATCATCCCGTCGGAACAGTTTCTAGCAATATGTATTTTTAAATTACAGTGGAGACACCTTTTCTCCTGTGGTTTACTTCCTCCATTCTGATGTAACAGTTGCCTAATGAATCGTTTGAGCTTTTCTAGACCACCGTGAGAGAGAGTTGGTATTTCCATACTATTTGATCTGATAACTTCATATAATTCCTGGATGGTAAATCTAGTTGCTTATCTGCAACTTTAACTGATTCAATTTCTATTGCCAATTGGACAACTTCCTTTAATAACGAACATCACTTCTGTTTTAGCATAAAACAAAAAATGCCTGCCTACACTTGACAATTGACAGTCATTTTTTTTGTAATTGGTGCATTCGCGGTTTTACCAGCGTGTAGTTTTATATAACTTCATAGTTTTTAAATCCTCCTGTTTTTTATATATTATTGATGAAGTAGTGTATCTATCCCGAAATGTATAATATAAATATTTTTCATCGTTTTTGGAATGAAGTTTGCGTAATTTAAAACGTTCATTTTAGCATATATGTCTCCTTTCCTTTTAGCATAGTTATCTGCTGTCACATTTTAAAAAATATAACCATTTTTATTTTATTTAGTGATTAAACAATATTCGTCATCACTGTTCTATTATAAATAAAAGTAATAAATAGATAAGAAAATATTGGACAATATTATAGTGGCTGCTTTTGAGGTGAGTTGTCAGATTCAACTTAATTTCCACTGGTGGCTTAAGAATCCCCCCCTTTAATTTATTGAAGGAAAACTTTTGTGCGTATAAAATGAAAAATTTATTCTTGTGAAATTCGGAGATACGCATCAGATATGGAGGCATACAATTTTATTTGGGCTTATGCTATTCATATTTTAAAAAAAAATAGTAAGGTGCTTGTCTAGAAATTGTTTCTGTTTTATCCTCTCTTCTTCTTTTTCTAACAGAAAGCGTTTAACTACTGAATTCAGGTAAGCTGTTAAATGGTCTATTTAGTTACATTTTCTGAATATATATATATATATATATATGCGTGAGTGTGTAGTTTGAAAGATTGTTAAATATTTCTATAGTAAAATGTCATCCTATATTAACTGCTCAAATAGTTTCGTCTTCATCGTTTAGTAGAGGTATCACCTTTTCGTAATACTAGAAGGTGGAGCTACTATAGAAATTTAGAAATTCTATAGGCCACTTGTTGTATGATATTGTCAAAATCAGCTTACAAGGAACAGTCATTGCAAAAATAACTTAGGGAAGTAGAAGTTCTGATTTGCGTATAGATATACCCATAACTGGTAATATGTATTTTATAATAACATATTATATTTTCTAAGATTCGATATCGTGTTCTGAGGAATCAGACTTGCACATAATACAGGCCATTACAGCAAACTTTATTGGTAAGTAACTAAAATATTAATATATAATACCAATAGTACCCGTCATGAACAAGTCGTGACCACTGGTTTGAGAGTTTTGCCATTTGTTAAGACAAGTTCGTTGCCATTGGCATTATTGTATAGACTTTCTGAAATTGTACTGTAACTCAATTATTGTACTCTTATGGTATATGTTTAGAAGAGAATACATAAGAAAAAAAATAGTGCATTTAGATATTTGCTGTCTTTTTATACATGAATAATAAAAAAAGAGCTTTTTACTGCACAAAACACGTAGTTTAACTTGCATTTACAATTACACTGCTAACAGTAACAGCTGCAGATTTCTAAAATTTTTAACCAGGGAAGAAATCCATCATATTATAATTTAACACTAATTTACAATTACATTTACTCTGTGTTAGTGCTAAATTCAAAGTCATAACTATAAAAATAGTGCACACACACACACAGTAACAGCATTTCTTCTTGTTATAGTTCTTAATTTGACGATTAACACAAAATTTAACGTGTTTTTTTTATCAGTTATGAATTTAAGTGGCACTGGTTTTTTCAGAAGATTAATTTTTACTGAAGAAAGATTATTCCTAAGAACATGAAATACACACACAAAAAAAAACTGAGTTTTATAACTATAAATATAAATTTGGTATAAGTAGGGTTCATATTCATGCTTGTTTGAAAATGTTAACATAATTTTTGCTCATCCTTAAGATTCACAGAAATCTGTTTTAGTCACGGTTATAAAATGTTGACCAAGTTTGCAAGTCATCATGTATAGATATTTTGGTTAATAGAACAGCAAACTGGCTTGCTTTTTAAAATCGGAGAGCTGTTATAAATGACCCAGCTTTGTGATTGGATTTCACATTTGAAACTACAATAAAATTTTCATTTTATCTTCACCTATATATTATTTATTATATTGTTATGGAGTAACAATAGGATGATTAGGATTAACAACATGATTCCCTTTTTTTAAAAATAAAAATAAAAGATCAGGAGAGGATCTGAGAAACTATAGGCTGATTAATTTGACTTTTTGTTAGTAATATACTGGAATTTTGTGTTACGAGTTATTTCAAAAAGCAGTTGAAAAGTTGTCATTTAATGCAGTTCTCAGCAAAGTATGCAAAAGTTATCAGATTGTTGAAGATTTTTGTTAAACTTCTACCTTTTCACTCTCATCAGGTATTTAATATGATGCCTTATGATACATTAATAGATAAATTAGATACTATACAGTTTTAAAATTAAGAGATGGGGTAAGAAAATTTCTTAGTAGTAGGAAGGAGGAAAAGGTGGTGATGAATGGCCATTTTTCAAAGTGAGAAAATGTTACTAGTGGATACTTTGTTAACAATGAAGAAAGTTCTTGCACAGCAAAATGTTCAGTATTTCTATGAAATTATATATTTTGCTGTAAGCTTTGTTACTTGAAACTCTCATTCATTTAACATTCTGTATGTGTTCATGTCTGGCAACTTCCTTTTCATTTTTTTGTTTGATAAGGTTTGTCATGTGGTTGAAGTCCAGTCATGACGTGGAGTTAGAGTTCAGTTAAGAGTTGCTTTCAATTTCGATAAAAGATATTTGTGTTGGTGTTTCAATTAAAGTTCTTTATCAAGCAAGTGCTTTTAACAACTGTTGTATGCTATTGAGTTTGAAGGTTTCAGTTAGTGAATTTAAAGTAAGGAAACATTTGAATTAATGATCGAGTTACATGATGAACCTTATCAACCAATAAAATAAGAAAAATGTTGTCAATATTAGATTAAGGAAAGCATATGTTACGATGACAGCAGCTCCATATCTGTTAAGGCTCCTGGGCCAAATAATATTTTCCAAGTGTATTAAAATAGTTTAAATATTATATAAGCAAGCTCCTTACTAAAATTTTTAGCAAGTCTTTGACTAGTAGCCAGGTGCTAAAAAATTGGAAGATGGTAATCTTACACTTATTTTTAAATTAAGGGAGGTGGCAAGCATTGTCCAAATAATTATAGACCACTTAGTCTTACTTCTGTGGTGGTAAAAGTTTTGAAGAGACTGATTAAAGATGTTCTGTAAAGCCACCTAACAAACCCTACAATTTTGTTGGTCAGCCAGCATAGTTTTACATGTGGAAAATTTTGTCTCATGAATCTTTTTTGACCTTCTTCAAAGCTATAACTGTTGATGAGGGTAAAGATGTGGATTTGTTATACCTGGATGTTTGGAAAGTGTCCAACAAAGTGCCACGTAAAATACTAGTAAAGAAATGATCTCTATGGGTGTCAAGAGTAAGTTAGTTCAGTGGATTAAGGATTGGTTAGAGGAGGTAAAGGTTTGTAAAGAGAGTAAAGACAATAGAGAAAGAGAAGTGTAAGCTACAGAAATGGCAGCAGGATTTAAAGAAGAACTTAAGATTTTGCATATAAAAAGTAGCTAATAATGATTTTAGGAATTTAGAAACAGTACTGTTAGGGCTAAAAAGCAGTAAGTTTAATTGTAGTCATAAATGAGCAGGTTCTGTTAAGTAACAGATTTCAGCCTTTAGCTTGTGTAGATGAGAAACAAGGGGAGGGAAAGAAAACAAAAGGGACAAGTAGGGATGAAAATAAGAAAAACTTGAGGTTGTAGTTATCTGATTTTTTGGTACATTATGTGACTAGGATAGCCTATGGAATAAATAAAAAGAAAATAATTAGATTATGCTATACTGAAACATAGGGTTCACAGTTTGTAGAGTGCAAGGAGTGAGTTTTATTTGTGTCATTGGAACTAATATGTATTTGTAAGGAAATTAGTGGTTAAAATGTGCAACTTGTTTGCATATTGCAGGAGATATTATAGCCTATCCTAAAGAGAGTAAAGACAATAGAGAAAGAGAAGTGTAAGCTGCAGGAAATGGCAGCAGGATTTAAAGAACTTAAGATCTTGCATATAACAGTAGCTAATAATAATTTTAGGAATTTAGAAGCAGTACTTAATTGAATAGAGTTGTTTAAATATTTGTTTAACAACAAGTAAATGCTTGGAATGGGTGTGTGTCTGTGAGCCAGACTAGTTTTGGAGAATTCCACTTCTCATCAGTGACCCTGGACACTACCATTCAGAATGTACTAGTCTGGCTCACTGACACCCCCCCCCCCCATTGAAAGAATAGACCATTCCAAGCTTTTACTTGTTGTTAAACAAATGTTTAAACAACTCTATTCAAAGAGAAATATTATTAAAAGGTTGAAAATTTAGGATCAAATTAATACCACTTTATTCTAAAGTTTTGTAATATTTGATCAGGAGTACTTTACGCACATCTTGAATCGTGCAGTCAATCATAACGTATACAATTACCGTACTCCAGTTTACTTAGTAATGTCGTTCTGCTTCTTTACCCGTATTCTGTTATTCTATGCAGTTTGGCTTCATGTCTTCATTAATTTTTTCAAAGTTGAGCAGTGTGGATACTCAATCATCTTACCTTTTTCTATTTTATGCACAATTTATGTGTGTGTATCCAAAACTACTTTGCCCTGAGGTTGGAGAATATTATATAACACGAGACTTTTTTGTATTGGTTTTCCATGCAGAATTTGATTCTGTGAAACCTATCTTTAATATTTCTCTTACCTTTTTCTATTTTATGTACAATTTACTTGTGTGTAGCCCTGAGGTTGGAGAGTATTATATAACACGAGAAGTATATTGTCCTATTGGAAATTGTGAGGCGTAATTCTTTCTTTATTCGTTTAGCATACATATACGAATTTTTAAAATTCGATTCACAGTTTTACACTACTTGCCACCCCTAGAAAACTTTACCCCACCCCTCGGTAAAATTTCTGTGGATGCCCATGTTCTGTCAGATCAGAGAGTCTGAATAGTTGCGGCCTCATTAATATAAAGTCCCATTGCAGCTATATAAAAAAAAGTTGATGGTATTTATTTTGATGTGAGGAATTGTCACCTTTGTTGTTATACAGCTTTTACACAACTATGCTTTGAATTTTACGTTTTTCAAAACATGATAAATGCGATTTTGTTTAGTAAAATACGTTTAAATTTCACGCTTTCTTTTGCAAAACACGTTTACGTAAACTTGTAGTATTTTATAGATCATTTTTCGTGATTCTGTATTATGCTTGAAGCATGCCAATTGTTTAACTGAGGGGTATTCCCTGTAGCCTGCCGAACCGCAAAAATAGGAGGATCCGTTACATACTGTATTAAAGACTGGAGCTGTAAACAAAAGAAACGAGACTGGACACAGGTTTGTAAACAGTCACGATATTTCTTATGAACGGAAACAATATCAAGATTAATACTTAAACAAATTCTTAATACGGCTGCGTCTAACAAAAGTGTACCAACAATATCAGGAGGATCCGTTACATACTGTATTAAAGACTGGAGCTGTAAACAAAAGAAACGAGACTGGACACAGGTTTGTAAACAGTCACGATATTTCTTATGAACGGAAACAATATCAAGATTAATACTTAAACAAATTCTTAATACGGCTGCGTCTAACAAAAGTGTACCAACAATATCAGGAGGATCCGTTACATACTGTATTAAAGACTGGAGCTGTAAACAA